TATATATATATATACATACAAGATATTCAGTAAAGAACTGTAACAACGCTTAAGAGTAGATTCCTGAAATCCATTTTGAGGCAAAAATTTTAATATCAAAATGTCGAAACTTAATTATTGAATTATAAGTATATTTAAAATTATATATCAAATCATACTACTTAAAGTTCGTGCGTTTAGATGTGATACAACGGAAAATCCAACTGCACTTAAGCGCGCGAACTTTAAATAAATACAGATCTAAATATAATCTCATTGATTCACCAAAATAATTATGTAGGAAATTCAAAGTGATGTTGATGAAGTATTTGAGTAATATTGAAAAATATTTGAGTAATGTTGAAAAATATTTTGTCATTTTAGTAATTTGAGCATCCTACAAAATATTATTTTCAAACTTATATATCTAGAAATTTTTTATTACTTTAGAAAAATAATTCTTTCTCTCTCTGCGTAAAATCAATAGTTTAATGTATGTTTACATCTCAATATTAAATAGGAAAACTGTGATAAATGTATATCATCTTGAACACATGTGTAATAACGTCAAATCGACGAAATAACAATGAAACATATGTTGTATTGCAGAGGACAAGTACGAATGTTTGGGGCAAATGGATGGGTGTGATGCATGGTGACGAAGTGGAATATGTCTTTGGGCATCCCTTGAATAAATCATTGGAATATACCGACAATGAACGAGATCTTTCTTTGAGAATGATTCACTACTTCTCGCGATTTGCATATACGGGGTAGGTATTACGAATATTAGGTATTAATCATGCAACGCCAGATATGTATTATCTCTGATAAATAATAATATAGTATTACATACAATAAATAAAAGAAATTATGTTAATTAAATTTATAAGAAATTATTCTATATATATTAAATCATATATTAAAAATTTACTGTAATTGTAATAATAACAATAATATTATTATAATATTGCTAGTTACATAATATATGTATATAATGGATTATAGAGAAAAGTTATAGAGAAAACGACATCTTTTTTTAAATTTTGGTACTTAGCTTTGCTCGTAGAGCGGTTTTGAACGTAACTGATTAGATTCATACGTAAGAAGAACCAATCGCTTCAATGAACAGATTCCAAAATCCATTAAAAAAAAGTATTGTAATCTTTCTGTGACTCACTATACATACAGCAGCAATAATAGTAGTAATATTCCCAACAGAATCACGGATATTGTAAGAATGTATAGGAAAAAATGTTAGGATTAATTTTGTCAAGGATATTGCTTATGTCGCTTCATTGGTGAACTAATTTACAAGCATTAAAGCCACAAATTATGTAAATATAAAAATAACTTAACATTATCAATATTAACGTTAGAAATTTCAATATCGATTTGGTATAAATTATTG